TACATAAAATACTGGTATCCTCCTTCAAACTGCTCGTTATGAAATAGAAATTGAATACACGCATCCAAAACACTTAAATCTACACCATCGTCATAATCACTACATTATTAACGTTCAGCATGTGAGCCCACGTATTACCATGGCAACATGCAGTCTCACATTTCCGTCACCGTGGAAACGGAAACTTAAACAGTCTGCACACGTTTGAAGCATGTGCTGACTGTTGCAATAAACACGGGCGCGATGACTGATAGGTGATATTGACACCAAGATCCATATAGCGGCCATGTCCTTCACAACCCGCTCCTTGCTCTAGAAGACACGATGACCACTCCTAATGGTTAAGTTTAGATGAAGGCACACGAATTGTATCAATATATTAACAGTATGATAATTATATTCATGATCCGTCTAACCCCCAACCACCAAACATATATAACATGTGTATTTTTGCGATCACACGCTACATTTGGCACAAATATTATATAGCATTGGTGGATAAACTTTGTAATCGGGCCCAGATAACACAGTTAGAAACATGCGGCCAGGCCACACAACAGGGATAATTTGTTCGACTTGACAAATATAAGCCCCATTACCAAATATTAAAGACTAGAAAAAAACCCGATTAACCTCAAAACTCACGGGAAATACATCTTCATGAATCTAGGGCAATCAATAAGTAATGGACGCATTAACATCAATTAAACTAAGGTTTTTTCCAGATGTATTTTCAGTTGGAATTAATTGTCATTTCAAACAGAACCTTCGCCAGTTTAACTATATTAATATGATTAATAAATCTACAAACAAAACAATGAATTGTACATAGTCTTATATCGTAATAATGCTTAACCCGTTCCCAAGTTATAACCAATCACATCCAATTCGACCCATGACCTTCAGAGATTGTGTTATCCCCTCTAAAGATGCCACAGTGTTGAAGAAAAATGGCCTAGGACATGCTCAAACCTAGAGAGGTATCCATTGCGAGGGATGTATGATGAAAGAAAGGAACACCACCCAACAAACACAAGCATATTTTATACCAGTACATCCACAGGTCTCATAATCTGAGCTTACACCCCATCCAGAGCTCACAAGACAGTCCCTCTCCCTTAAAAAGATAGTTTACGACAGCTGCAGTCGACCTGGAAAGTATCAGTGAGGAAAAGGCTTGCTTATAAGGGGCCAGGCATATATTACAGGGGGGAAATAATGACCCTCCCTTTTAGCCTGTCATATTTTCGGATTTTCTTGTCATATTTTCGGATTTTCTTGTCATATTTTCGGGTTTTCGGATTTGACCATCCCCACGTCCTTGTAAACTGACGTCCAAAAGAAACTTTTACCAGAGTTTGAAATCACTCTTGCTCAAAAACAACAAAACATACATGCATGAAGTAAAGTGTATTGAGAAGATCAATATATCAACATAATCAACACTGAAATGACAATCATACTGCGACCGAGAATGACGTCAGAGCCCCCCAAAGTTGGGTGTGGTACAAAACTCGAGCTTTCAGAATCATGGACAATAGGCAGAGTACATAAACAATCGCTCACGTTCAATAACAAGTCATTAGTAGCGTGTGTGACCACCAAATGCCTTCGACGCACAGAAGAAGTCAGTCGTCTGATGAGGCCACGTGGGATTTGACGCCATTCGTCTTGGAGGGCCAAGATCAGTTCTTGCCGGTTGGCTGGAGAGTGTGGTCGTTGTCGAACACGACGATCCATCAAGTCCCAGAGGTGTTCTAGGGGGAACATGTCGGGTGAGCGTGCAGGCCACGGCAGGGCGTTGACGTTGTTGGCTGTGAGGAAGTCAGTGACAATTCTGGCTGTATGGGCTCTAGCGTTGTCATGCTGATAAATGACACCACGTGGCTGCTGTTGGAGAAATGGTAGGACAACTGGACGAAGAATGTTATCCATGTAACGCTGAGCTGTCAAGTTTCCGTCAACGATGACCAGCGGTGTCCTCACCTGCCCACAGATCCCTCCCCACACCATGACACTCCCTCCAACATATGGTACGACCTCCTGCACGCAACACGCCGCCGTTCGTTCATCCCTTCGGCGGTAAACACGTTGTCTTCCATCAGCCCTAAACATACAGAATCGACTTTCGTCAGTGAAGACAACCCTCTGCCAGTCACGTCGTTGCCAACGTTGTACAGTCCGGGCCCATCTCAATCGCAGACGACGATGTTGCGCTGTCAATAGCTGTCCTCTGTATGGTCTAAAAGCCCTGATTCTATGAGCCCTGAGTCTCCTGGCCACTGTCTGTCGACTAACCCTGTGACCTAAGGCATTTGTCGCCGATGACGTCACTGTCCGGAAGCAATTTCGGAGGTGCAAGGTACGCAAGTACCGGTCATCATGGGGCGTGGTTACCCTGGGTCAACCTGTTCTTGGCCTGTCAGCGATCCGCCCTGTCTGTCTGTAACGTTGCATCAAGTTGGTAACGGCAACACGGGAGCAACCGAAGGTTCGTGCAACATGGGCGTGGGTGGCTCCCATCTCTACCATACCCAAGGCTCGTTCACGTTGTTCGACTGTGAGTCGTGGCATTTCTTTTGTGTTATTTTTTTATCACTGTGGATGTCTGACTTGCCGTTGCAATCGTTTTATACCCTTACCCGCACGTGCATTTGCAGTTGTGCGTGGTGCACGTGTTTTTTCCTTTTTTCGCGTGTTATCTCGCAAACATGTAACAGACGATTAACATTTTCTGCATACACTATTGTTGTATTTAGGTTATGTGTTTCAGATAGACTTCATCGAAAAAATATTTACACTTTGTTTGAAATTTATATTTTCAGTTGGTAAAGTTTCTTTTGGACGTCAGTTTCCATTTTATTTCATAACCCTCCGTGAAAAGACAAAATGCAAAAGCACTTGATATTTTATTATAAAATGTTCATTTGTCATGACACCCAATATGTGTATGTGTTCTGATGCGTCAAATTTGGACATGGCTGGCTACCTTGAAACCTTTTGACAGCGTTACTGAGGCCTTGAATGTTGTAACCTTGATCAAACAACACTGACGCTCTTTGGAATCATGGTAGAGAGAGCGTGCTCGGTTCTCCCTCAAAGGTGCGAAATGTAGACACCAAGGGTTGGAGCTGCAGGAATATTGCTCGACATAAATGGAAAGTTGACAATTGGAAAGTTGAAGTCATCCCTCTTGTCATACAGTCTTGTTTAAAGTCTCTTTTTTTTCACTCTGAATCTTTATGCTTAGATGTAAATGAAACAGATGAAGCGGTCTCACTGGTCTCCTTTATTTCTTGTTCAGGTGGGTAAATCTGTGGAAGTGAATTTTCTATCTGCTGGTTATTGAACGATATCAGATCAGCGATATACCTGATGCTTAAATTAAATGTATTGACTTTCCCAATTGTGATTCATATGCATAGAGAAACAGATAACTAAGAAGTGCTCATGGGGATGCATTCTTCTTGCCTAAATGTCTTACCCCCAAATTTTACATAGATGCTATCAATGAGGAAGTTATAACCCTTCTCTGATTCGCTCTGAGCCCCAGCCCACCCCCACCCCTATAATAAATGACCGGTCACTTACGTGGAGGGTGTATATTATTCTATATTCATAAAGTTACAAATCACTGAAGGTTGAACTCATTCTGTTACTTGATGATTGTTACTTCTCCCTGCGTGAGTAGATGTATGTCACTACTGTTCGGCAGGTTGTGGACATTATTTACGACGCTTTCTTCTGGGTGATCATTCGTTTGTTTGTTTGTTTGTTTGTTTATTTCTTGTTTAACGCCGCACTCAGCAGTATTCCAGCTATATAATCGGGTATGTACTAGAGTACCCAGTGATTGACATCATAAGCATCGATCTACGCAATTGGGATCGATGACATGCCTTTACATGTCAACGAGCCTGACCACCCGATCCGGTTAGTCGCCTCTTACGACAAGCATAGTCGCCTTTTACAGCAAGCATGGGTTCCTGAAGACCTACTCTCTTCCCGCATCATCACGGGCCGGTAACCATTGGTACAGACCATTGACCAGGATGCAGTGGTTGACTGGTAACGAATGTTACCGTCTTGTTCATGTCTTGCTGCTGGGGATGGGGTCAGATTAACTGTCACTGTATTGCTGTGTACATTTACTTAAAGTCGTCTTGGACAAACTCTCACAATTAATAATGATCCGAAACAAAGACACCGATTTGTAAGACAATTCACATATCCTTTGTGTTTAATTTTATATATGTTTAAATTGAATTGAATACTGAATACACAGGGGGACCATGCTCCGTTGTTGGTTCTAAATGCATGTATCCAGTTTCAGAAAGGAAATGACAGCCACATACTAAGAAACACTGACATATGTGTGCACGCATAAAAGTCACATCCACTCTCATTGAAACAATGAAGAAGAACCCCAAACCAGTCTACAAGTACTCAGAAGTTGCTTTCACTTTGACACAAAGGGGAACATTCACGCCATGTAACCGCCGTATTAAGGAAGAAGTCCTGTATACGTTGCACACGTTGTATATCCTGTACACGTCTTAAACCGTCACCAAGAAAACGTCTTAATACAACGTCGTTGAATCTATATACAGCACAGTATGTATATTACAGTCAATGTGTAACATGAAATTCTCACTGAGGCAATTTACAAAACGCCAAAACATCATCCACAATACTTTACATTTTCAATTAATTTCCCGTCAGATTGACTAAATGTTTTTAAGACATTCAAAAGGGCTCAAAACATCACAAAAGCCTAATTATGCTAGGATTATAGTAGCCCCAAAAATAATAAAATATACATTGACTTTCGGTTTTTTTTAATCCTAAAATTTTCAGTCACTTGGTGGTGAATTAATAAAGAAAAATAATTGTAAAATGACTGAAATATTTTGCATTTTTTAAATTGGCTGAGTGAAAGTTTCAGTCATGTAACACAATGGCCGCAACATGTACAAGCTTCCATAGATGAACACCCGTGTCTAGTAACCGTCGTACCGCAAGAAGTCACCCATCCTGGTGATGATGTTGTAGCATCCTCCAGCGCATGCGCTGTCCTCATAAACACCTATCACAAAGCAGGAACAGCATCTGTAGATGACACAGCCCGACCCTGAAGCAGCCGACCGACCCACCATCGTGGTAGAATTGACCCTGGTCAGAGTGTACTGGGCGCAACCCACACACAGACCGTCTTCCCTCAGCTTGGCACCACAGTCTTCAAAGCCTGCTGCTATGGCCATTACTTCCGCCGCAGTGACGTCAAACCCAGGACTCGCTGCCCATCTCTTACCATCCTTGATGGAACAAATGGCGGCTCTGGTCACGTATCCTTTTTCGAGAAGGGCGCAGATATATTGTTCCCAAGTTGGTGTCTGTTTAGCACTCATTTTGGCGACGGGGTGCTCTTAAAGGGTTCCGTAACAAATTTCATTCAATATGAGATGCAAATCAGAAATATCTTTCCAAAGCAGACGACAATTTGGTCACTTCCTGTCTTGAAATAATATTACAATCAGTCTTGTGGAAGCATCAATGAATATTGGATGTTGGTCGTTTTTTCCGAACGGCGCAGGGAATATTTTAAAGAGCTGTTGGTGAATATTTCTGAATAAGAAGGCTCGCTAACGGGGCTGTTTTATCATCCAGATCCTTTTTACGAGCAGCACAGACCTGATTGTCACGGCTCAGATCCGATCACAACTGATCCGTTTTGATATACGCATAAATATGTATGAATTAGTAGGCTCACAGGGCCCGCTCCAATATCACTCGCAAATGACACTGCGCTGTCTTTATAATAGAAGAATATGTCAGCTTTAAACACCTACCAGTATTTGTCCTCACCGCACGTATTCCTTTAACTTATTAACACTGTAACCAAAGATGAACACCCTTTAAGGGCAGCAGCACCAACATGCTCAAAACACGAAAAGCATCAATCCACTAGTCTTCGTGCAAATTTCGTCAGTTTGTATTCATTCAATAATTAATCAAAATATCACTTTCACTAGACATATCCAGGAACGGTCTCAGGTGCTTTCTCACTAACCAACTGTCGCTGTCATTCTAGCTCCAATGTTAACTGATCGACCCGCCATACAAAGCGGGCGTGCTCACACGACGGGCGCCTTTTCTCTGTATGAATGCAATACCTATCTGCTATCTATGCCTATTATCGAGAGTGTTTACCCGAGTTACCGAATAGTACAACGCCGATTTAGCGATAGCGCAATAAAGGGGGCCATTATGGTCTTTGAGCACACATCTGTTGGCTGCTATCTGACCAACACGTTGCCTTTCATTGAATTACACTTTGAATTGTATCTTCGGTCGGAATGTCACGTGGTATAGACATGACAGATCGCTTTACCTTTCGCATGAATATTTCATTTTAGAGACGGTTTTGCCTCATATGTATTGTACGGAGAAAGACCTCATGTATAATGCTGTACTTTACTTATAAATCTATGAACATATGATTAAATGAGCACAACTTAACTTGGATTTGTGTAATCGTAAGCAATTGTTTTATTGATTTCTTTGCAGACAGAGAAACAGCAGTTCTTCGGCAAAAGGCTATTATATTATATTATATTATATTATATTATATTATATTATATTATATTATATTATATTATATTATATTATATTATATTATATTATATTATATTATATTATATTATATTATTGTATAGCACACTTTCCAAAATCACTTCAATTCAATTCAATTCTTTATTGTATGAAAGGACACAGGCCCATATACAACGGAGTAACATAACCTATTTTATAAGATACGAAGTCATGTGTCATGATACTTGAATAAATACATTTAATGTATTTGCGAAACAAAAACATGAGTTTTGAGTAAAGGAACATATTCGCGCCCATGGGCAGGCCCATGGGCGAGATAGTGTAAATATTGAGTTTTTTAACAATTTTTTTTTCATTTTTTCTTCCTTGGTTTGTTCCCATGAAAACAGCATGTTTAATTTTGTAAATACCTTTGACCGAGAGTCGGCAAAGACCGTAGAGTTTCTGGACTTTTGGGTTTCCAGAATTAAAATGGGACGTGTTTATCATATCATATCATATCATATCATATCATATCATTAATTTATATTACATTATTAATTTGTATAGCACACTTTCCAAAATCACTTCACTTCAATTCAATTCTTTATTGTATGAAAGGACACAGGCCCATATACAACGGAGTTACATAACATATTTTATAAGATACAAAGTCACGGTAACAATTCACTTCGTAACAAAAACGCATGATGTATGTACAAAGCCAGTTGATTTTGTGTTAGAAGATCCTTGCAGGACAGTAATGAAGACAATGTTATAGCATTGAAATGAGATATAGACCACTGCGGTAAGTACTTGTTTCTGGTTTAAGCAATGACTTGAACTGGCGATAAGTATCATATCTTGAACTTTCGTCAATATCTGAATGCCATTTCTGATGAAGCATATCAATGGCACGCATTAAACTATTTATCTTATCATTACCCAATGGATCAGTGTACACGTGATTTTCATTCTCAGCTCCAAAGGGTACAGATGAGGCGAAATGGGGTTTAACCTCACGTCCAAGATTATTTCACATATAAATAGTGACGTACCATGCGCGCGTGCGTGTGTGCGTGCGCGCGTGTGTGTGTGACTGTTCTGAGCCCCTTAATGCCGAGCGCCAGCCAGGCAGGGTAACAACAAGTACCATCTGTTCACGTCTTTTGGTATGACGCGGCCGGGGATCGAAACGGGGCCGATGCTCTATCACTAGACCACGGAGGCGGTTCCCCAGGGTACAAAGTATAAGTGGTATACGCATCATGCCTCACCAATGTAACACTGTCCTCTCCAATCTCTCACCGGCAGCCGCTTCACATCTTGGCGGGGCTGTGTGGTGTGCCACTCAACATACCTGGTTACCCATGTAACAAAGGGGTTTGTCTATGATGCCCACCCAGCTACTTCTAGCGCAGCTAGCTGCAACTGGTGTCCCTACCTACAGCCGATCTTGTTTGTTTGTTTGTTGTTTAACACCGCACTCAGCAATATTCCAGCTATATGACGGCGGTCTGTAAATAATTGAATCTGGGCCAGACAATCCAGTGGTTGACATCATAAGCATCGATCTACCCAATTGTGATGCGATGACATGCATCAACCAAGTCAGCGAACGTGACCACCCGATCCAGTTAGTCGCCTCTTACGACAAATATAGTCGTCTTTTACGGCAAGCATGGGTTGCCGAATCTTCACGGGACCACAGCCTATCTGTACTGATGGTCCTACTGGAAGCAACACCTACAGCTACTGACTAGTTTTGGAAGGTCCGTGGTTATGAGCAACAATATGGATTTTCTGCTCACATCTTTGACAAGGGCCATAATCAAGTCTTTGGTAGGCATTCAGAAGTTGGAAGAACATGAAACATGACACTTTTTATGGATAGCAAGTTCTTTTATTCTGTCATGATGTTTCAGAACTACTTCTTGCTCCTTCATCAGGCGAATGCTGAGCAGGTGCATAAAGTTAACATGTACCTATTTAAGTCATAATCTCTTTGATGTTATTTAGTCAAACTTTGTTTCTTTGATGACCTGTTTCATTTGACCCCATTTTGCTCTTTGATATTTTAGAATAATAAGTTTGCTGCACACAAATATATGCCACTCAATAATGGTATATCCAGTTTGATATGTGATGACCATCAAATACTACTGAAGCAGAGATGTCCCGAAAAAATTCAAGAGGGCATTGGCAGGTTTATCCAGTATACAAGAAGTACTGTTTGAAATCTCAAATCTGTGATCAATATTTTGAAATTTGGTGCTGCCTAACCAATACATGCAGGCACCAAGCAATAGTCGCAGAAACAGAATTTGAAGACCCTTTGTATTTTTCATCCTTATGGGGACACGGGTGGCCCAGTTGTCTAAGGCGCCGCGATTCGCTGTGCAGAGTTCCGTCCCTTGGGCACGCCAGAAACCTATGATTGTGGGTTCGAATCCCGGTTCGCCCCGATTATGTTTCTAGGTTTGTCAGCACCATACCCGTGCTCGTGGGTTTCACCGGAGTGGTAAACGTCTGGGACCTGCATCACTCCGGGCTTTCCTCCCACATTAAGCTGACACGCCGTGATGTAACTGGAATAATGTTAAAAGCGGCGTTAAACCCAACTCACTCACTCACTCATCCTTATAAAACGTTTCACCGCTGTATTCACCAATTTTGAAACCTCTTGGGTATCAAAGCATCTATGTTGCTATACTCTTTATCACCTCTGCTGTCTCAGCAAAGTCTTTTAGTAAATTATGTTTGTGACTGAAATGGCCTTGGCCTTATTCCACAGGACAGACTGTATAGGTATGTGGCTGAGGTAAAAGCACCATTTGTTTTTTTTGTTTGTTGTTTAACACAGCATCTGTAAATAGTAGTCAGGATCAGTTGGTTTATTGTTTAACGCCACACTCAGCAATATTCCAGCTATATGACAGCGGTCTGTATAAAATCAAGTTTTGAACCAGACAATCAAGTGATTGACATACGATGACACACATGAACCAAGTCAGCGAGCCTGACTACTTGATCCGTTAGTCGTCTCTTACAAACATAGTCGCCTCTTACGGCAAGCATGGGTTGCTGAAGACCTATTCTCTACCCGTATTTAGGGGTCCGTGACAGACTATTGACCAAGATGAGGTGGTTGACTGGTAACGAATGTCTAACCGCCGTGTTCATGCCTCTTTTGACATGCATAGTTGCCTCTTACGACAACCATTTGTTGCTGAAGACCTGTTCTAACCAAGATCTTCACAGGTTGTCAGGATGAGACAAACCGGTGATTGATATTATGAGCAAAATCCTGCATCATGGGGCATGATAAGAACAAGCATAGGTTGCTACTCCAACCAGGAATCCCCAATGTTTCTTTTCTTTTAGGGCATGTGGATCAGAGTGAGTGAGTTGGGTTTAAGGCCGCTTTTAACAGTATTCCAGTTATATCAAGGCATGTCAGCTTAATGTGGGAGGAAAGCCCGAAGTGATGCAGGTCTCAGACGTTTACCACTTCGGTGAAACCCACGAGCACGGGTATGGTGCTGACAAACCTAGAAACATAATCGGGGCGAACCGGGATTCGAACCAACAATCATAGGTTTCTGGCGTGCCCAAGGGACACAACTCTGCACAGTGAATTGCGGTGTGGTAGAGGACAGGGCCACCCGTGCATACTTGACCTTGAGAGGCATGGACTACTGGGGACAAAGTCTTCCTCGTTATGCCCACTGGGCACATGTTAGTCTCGGCTTCACTGGCTTCTCTGTACATCCTTCATCTCAGTCCAACATGAACACAACACAAGTAATAATAGGTT